CAATTCAATTTATGTTATTTTCATACTATATGATAAAAATATTCGTTAGTTGTTATTTTAAATAAGTAACTTTATACATTTATACTAAAACATTATGTCATAACACTATTGGTAGTTTAATTTTAAGCACTATATATATTTTTTATAAAACAATATTATTATAACAAATTTAACATCTTATCTTAAGTGTCGAAGAGCAAGCTGAAACGACTATTGTAAGAGCTACAATTTTTTTTGAACCTGTAAGAACTACAATTAGAGATGCTATGTTTGGAGCAACAAGGATTATAAACTCATACTCAACCTCCTAAACTTCCAAGGTAAAAGACGCAAATAGTATTTCTCAGTTATCCTTGACTGTACTCCACATGCCAGCCACCAAGAACAAATGTCTTTGTTAATGAGGTATGTTGACACATCTTCAGATTTTCTTTGCATTGAAGAATCCTTAGGTTTTTTTGGATGTATATGATACCACTAGGCATGGATTGTCTGATGTTCTACAAGAGCAATTGAAGTGTTGATCTTGTTGTAAAGACAACATGAGAGGATAGGGATATGATAATGGGTCAAACATGGAGGAAAAATCATCAAGGGGTACAAAAGAAACTTTTGGATATAAATCCAAGAGCTTTTTATTCATCTTGTAGTTGTCACAATATGAATTTGACACTATGTGATATGTCAGTTGTCATCAAGCAACGTTTTTTTTGGAATTATCCAATATTAATGCGTGCATCTACAAAGCATTTGCTAATTCTACAAAAAGGTGGCAAATTCTTAAAGATTACATAAGTGCATGGACTGACTCTCAAGTCATTCTCATCTACTCTTTAGGAGAGTCGTGTTGGCAGTGTTAAGGTTATAAGGTTTTAGATGCAAGAAATAATGGAGGCTTTATTATAGGTGGTTGACAGTGATTGACGACACATTGGCATTTAGTGAAGCTAAATCATTGGTGGAAAATGAACTTGGTGCCTTTGAATTTTTAGTGGCAATAATCATTTGGTATGAAATATTATCGGTTGTTAATTTGGTCAGCAAGCAGCTACTATCAAAAGATATGCTTATTGATATTATGTACATGGGCTTATTTCCTTTCTCAAAAGGATAGAGAAACAATTTTTTTCAAAACATTGGAAGCTGCAAAAGAACTTGCAATGGAGAGCCAGTGTTCCGCACTAAGCATATAAAATCAAAAATAGAAAAAGACAATTGATGAGGGCGCAGATGATGCATCTAATATTTCACATGGAGAGAAGTCGTTTAGGATCAGTTGTTTTATACCTATTGTTGATCAACCTATAACATCACTTACTAGGAGATTTGAACAATATTAGGGCTATGAGAAAACTTTTGGCTTCTTGTTTACTTCAAATAGGCTACAATCCATGGATGATAAGAGGATGATGGCTGCTTGTGCTAATCTTTAGGATGCCCTGTTCTACTATGACACAAGAAAGACTCAATATGGGATGGTGACAATTGCACTTGAAAATGGTGTCCTCGAGAAGATTAATTATGAAGATATAATTGGAGATTTTATTTCGAGAAAAACTAGACGGATGATGCAGTAGAACTTGAGTTAGTAAACCTTTTACTTTATTCTACATATTGTTACACATATTGAAGTTATATATTTGAGTAGAAGTATGCCTTAATTTTCTTAGCCATATGAACTTTATAAATCTTAGGGCCCCATTTTGCCTTTCATTCCAAAGCCCCCAATTTCTGGAGACGGCAACGGCCGGTTCATGTCCTCACTAAGAATCCCACGGCCAAATGAAGAATGGGGATAGTCTTATCCCACAAACAAAGCACTCAAGTGGGATTATCCCATTCCAAAACCAGGCCGATATCATCCTATTTTCTTTACCCCGAAATCAAACGTGCTAAAACTTAAGTGGAGGACCAAGATACACCCGCATTATGTAGAGGCAATAAGAACACACGTACATATGAGACAAAATAGTACCGTGGTCCACTAAATTAGTGGTCACCAACAGGATCAGAGTTAGGATGGTCAGATAAGCAATTGACTGATTAGTTGGTGGCCATGGACGATATAGTTGCTACAGGCTCTTGCTGAGATTTTCAGCTCAAATCTACACTTTAGAATAATATGTGATTCTAAAGATGCATACCAGAAAATGTGATTCTAAAGATGCATACCAGAGACCCCGGATCCATTAGAATCAGTATTGGTCTTTGGGTGCCATTGGCATATACATGAGTGATGAGTGTATATATAGACATATTTTACATGATGCGTCACCAACAGCGCATTGGTTCCAAGCACTAGACGCATCGGATAAAAAAAATGATAAGACTGATTGGTCCAAGGACCTGCGTGGGTCATTCAGCTGCTACAGGCTCCTCCTTAGATTTTCAGCTCAAGTGTGCACTTGCACTTCACAAAAAAAGAGCGATATGCATATCAGAAACATCCAGTGCCAATTTTCCAGGACCTTTTCCGATCCTGTTGTCATACGCAAGTGATGAGTTCATTGATGATGTTTACAGGCTCCTAGGTAGTGAGTACCACTGTGGCCTGTGGGCCAATTTGATAGATGATAGTTGTCATGTATGGCTTCATTCATTCAGATCGATTGGAAGGTAGGGTTTTATTTGATTCTAAGGAAAAGTATGCGGTTGAGAGCCAAATCATTGATGGCTTTTGGAAGTGCTGTGACTGCAATGATGCAACAGGAAAGGTTGAGGCCATGGCTTATTCCAATTTCTAGGAATTCCCATGGCGTCAAACGCTTCGGTGTGACAGATTTATGAGTGGAATGATGCGTCAACCGGATAATCCATAATTCCAAAGGTGTGAACGCCAGAACGACATCTTGGCATAGATGCATGATAATTGATGGATCTATATTGACTGATTTCTTTGGCCCTTAGCACTCATGTCACACTGGATTGTCCAGACTCCAGAATAAGAGGCTGCTGGACCTCTCATGGCCATGGCTTTTCATGACTTGAAAACAAATCCTAAGGTTCCCTTGGTGGTCTAATGTCATCGTTGGCAATGATAATTGGTGCATGTACATTGACTGATTTCTTTGGCCCTTAGCACCCGTGTCGCATTGGAGTGTCCAGATTCATTAGATCCGCCTAGGATCGGAGGTGAGGTGGGCGCCTAAATGTCATAGTTGGCATAGATCATAATGGATGTACATTGATTGATGTCTTTAGCCCTTAGCACTCATGTCGCATTGGGGTGTCCAGACTCCAGAATGAGAGGCTATGACGACGTTTCATGGCCATGACTTGAAAAGCAATGGTAAGGTCCACCTAAGAGGGAGGTGAATTGATCGTCTAATTAAAAATCTTAAACCTAGAACTCAAATGAACCTATCACTAAAAAAATCATAGTTCTAACATGAATCGATGTGCATCTAAGATTTTTCTAATATGCCCTCACTTGCCCTTAACAAATCCAGTCCTTGTACCCAAAAAGAACAATAAATGGAGTGTGCGTTGACTATATGGGCCTTAACAAGGCATGTTCCAAGGATCCTTATCCTTTATCTCGTATAGATCAAATCATTGACTCACTACAGGTTGCGAGCTACTCTGTTTCCTCGACGCGTACTCTGGGTACCACTAGATTCGGATGAAGGACTCCGACCAGCTAACTACTTTGTTCATTACCCCGATCGGAGTATACAGCTATGTTACGATGCCTTTCGGGCTAAAGAACGTGGGGGCTACTTACCAGCGCTTCAAGCAACGATGCCTACACGACCAGATTGGTAGAAACGTAGAAGCCTACGTCGATGACATCGTAGTCAAGTCGGCTAAGGCTAAAGACCTCATCAAGGACCTTTCAGAGACTTTTGACAGCCTCCGGAAGTTTAACATGTGGTTCAACCGGCAGTGATATATGTGTCTTTACCGTTGGATAAATAGCTTCCCCCAACTTTTGTTGGATTCTAGGCTTATGACCCAGTAGTGAAATACAATCACGGCAGTGACAGTGATTGCTTTGTTCTGTAGTAGTGTCCCTCCGTCCTTTGTGGACCCTAGAGCATGTTTGTTTGAGTTGTAGTTTTTTGGTTTTTGGCTCAAAAGTTGGCTTTCTAGCTTTTGGCTTATGATTGTTGGCCTTTTGCCATTGACTTTTTTAATAAATTTTTAGCTTCTTATATCATACCAAAAGACAAAAAAACTACTCTCAACACGCTTTTCAGTTTTTAGTTTATTTTCTCAGAAGCTAACTTTTCAAAAGCTAACACACAACAGCCGGACTGAAGCCATAAGCTGAAATAAACAGGCCCTTGGATTGCTTTTCAAGTCATGGCCATGAAAGGTCCAGCAACCTCTCGTTCTGGAGTGTGGACTATACGACATGAGTGCTAAGTGCCAATGAAATCAATCAATTTACATTCATCATCCATATATATATGCCAATGGCATTTAGATGAACATCTCACCTCCCTCCTAAGCCATTGAATATATTGAAATGTCCAATCAGCCTCTCTCATTCCGGAGTCTGGACACTCCAATGCGATCGACACTGAGTGCAAAGGGACAAAGAATACGTGAAGACGACTAATCAAACTGGTCCACAGTGGCACTACCTAGGAGCCTGTATACATCAATCAACGAACTCATCACTTACGGATGACGCGACAACGACAACAGGATATTTTATCGGATCGAAAACGGGGATACAATTGTACCAGCGTTTATTATAAGCCCATAAAACAGTCGAATGATGACAACGGAAGAAGGTGAGAACCCACAAAAGATTGCGTCGATCGGCAACAGGTCGCGAGCCAATAAAAGCTGCAGCCTCCATGCACCACACAGCACATGGTTGAAGTCTGCTGACTTTCCAACCCCAGCCACCACTGATGTCACGCACTCTCCTTGTCTCACAAAGAGTATCATTCCCGCTTCCCAAGTCAAATATATATGTGCCCTGCAATGTTGTTGTCATTCCCAAGCTAAGCGTACTGCACCTAGACAGATCAAGAGTGAACGCCGACATGGCATCTTACAGTGCGAATGTTCCAGAGATGGCAGCTGGTTTTCATCCGACTGTATGGGGTGACTTCTTCATCAACTACATACCACAGCCATCACAGGCATGCCTATATTACAGCTAGCAGAGTAGCAGTGATGCAAAATATTGTTGCTTCTTTCTTTATGTTTCTTCCATTTTATGTTTTTTTAGGATCTGTTTGAACATGGCATTTTCATGTCTGAACAATGAGCATGATGACCTGTAAATACCTAAACATTGCAGCATTTCCACGGACCACGGGTTCCTTTTCCATTGTTTCTTAGCTTTTCGCAACATGCAACCACATGCATGCTTACATAAGTTTCCTTACTGCTTATAGGATCCCCACAATAATGGTATTTCTCTATGAATGTAGAAGTCGGAGGAATGGACAACAGAGAGGGTGAACCAACTAAAAGAGAAAATAAGTGGGCTATTTGAAGCTTGCACAACTACAGTTGAGCAACTCAACTTAGTGGACACGCTCCAACATCTAAGTATAGACCATCATTTCAACAACCAGATTAACTCCGTTTTGACTAGCATCCATGGTGCCGAATTCAACAGCGCTTGTCTCCATGATGTTGCCCTTCGATTGCGCCTACTGAGGCAGCAAGGGTTTTGGGTATCTCCAGGTATACAAAATGAAAAGGCAACGCTCTCCTTGATATATAGCCATGTGGACTTTTGTATACATGCTTCCTGTTTTTCTGCCAAATGATTCTCAATCTTTGGCAATTTTATTAGACATAGACAACGTGTGCCTGCTTATAGTTCTGAAACACATAGCAATTCATAGCACAGAAATTTTGTGTGCACAACAATAAAATACACATGCAGAGACAGGATCACCCAATGCTAATAAGCTCATACGTACGCTGCATTACTTACATATATATAATATGATTGTTCGATCTTGCAGATGAATTTAACAGGTTCAAAGACGGAAATGGGAACTTTGATGTTGGCATAACAAATGATGCAAGGGGACTACTAAGTTTATACAATGCAGCTTACCTTTTCACTCATGGAGAGGCAGAACTTGAGGAGGCTATTTTATTTGCCAGGCAACATCTTGAATCGATGAGAAATAACCTTGAATACCCGTTAGCTCAGCAAGTGAACCGAGCCCTTCACCTACCGCTGCCACGGACCTTCAGAAGAGTTGAGGCTCTGCATTATATCTCAGAGTACAAAGGAAGTCCAACACATATCCCCTCCCTTCTGGAGTTTGCACAACTGGATTTTGACCTTTTGCAACGTCTCCACTTGAAGGAGCTCAAGGCTCTTTCTAGGTATAATCAGTATCTGGCTATCCGCATCATGAAAAGACATGAGAAGTCTTAACGATATATTTTGGGTCTTAACAATAATCTCCTCAACCTTAATTTGGCTACTGAAACCTCTAAGTAGTGTCAAACTTCAAACATAACTAGGCTTGGCTTCTCAAACCATCAAAAGTGTATGCACGGTAGGTATTAGTTTCAAACTGTGTCCTAGTGGACATCCATAATGATGTATTAATCTTCCAAATTAAAACCTTGCTTGTATGGTATAAATTTGATATAGCTGTCCTAAGCATAATTGGAAAGAGAGAGATTAGTATGCATAAACTACTTGAATAAGCATCATTATATAATTGTATGAGATTACCTCCCAAAAAAGAAGTTACGACCTTATAGCTTAAGATACCTACAATCTAGCACTTCTAAACTCTAATGATGTTTAGTTTTATCTGCTAAACCAGAAAAGGGCGGATGGTTTTGCAGAAGAATCTTTATATTTTCATCTAAAATTTGAAATAATATTTTGAATTTTTGAAACAATTTTTTTCATAAAACAAACCTCCTGTTCTTTAATTTATTCGTAACACAGTTAACAACCTAAGTTAATCTCAGATGGTGGAAAGATCTTTACAATGAAGGGGAATTGACCTACTCACGGGATCGTGTGGTTGAGTGCTACCTGTGGTCTTATACAGCATACTTTGAGAAAGAACACACAAGGGCAAGGATGCTCCTTGCCAAGATAATCGCACTAATAATCCTGACAGACGACACTTACGATGTTCGTGCTACTTTGGAGGAGTGTCGAAAATTCAATGAAGCTATACAAAGGTTGGAGTGCCCCAATTTAATCTTACTAATTTGATCTAGGAAATCTTTAGTTCATATAGTATTTGCACTCAAAGCTGTAACCAGATAACTTTCCTACAGATGGGAAGAGAGTGCATTGGTCAGCTGGATGAGCGCGTCAAGGGTGTATCTGGACTCTGGTGCCAGTCTCCTCTTGGGCATGTGGGCGTCGACCAGGAGCAGCGGTGGTATCTGGACTCTGGTGCCAGTAACCACATGACGGGCTCCAAGGACTCCTTCTCCGAGCTCGACGGTGATGTTACCGGTACGGTGAAGTTTGGTGACGGCTCAAGGGTGGCTATCTAAGGGCGCGGCACCATCATCTTCAGATGTCAGAACGGGGAGCACCGCGCGCTAACGGATGTATACTACATCCCGCAGCTGCGTTCCAGCATCATCAGCATTGGTCAGCTGGATGAGCGCGGTAGCGAGGTTCTGATCAAGGACGGCGTTCTGAGGATCAAAGACCAGGAGCAGCGACTTCTCGCCAAGGTGAAGAGGTCCCTGAACCGGTTGTACCTGCTCGACCTGAAGGTAGAGCAGCCGGTTTGCCTGGCGGCAAGGCACTCCGAGGAACCGTGGATGTGGTATGCCCGGTTCGGACATCTCAGCTTCGACGCGCTTGGTCGGCTGGGGAAGATGGTCCGAGGGCTACCCCATATTAAATACGGAGGCGAGCTGTGTGACAGCTGCCTGGCCGGAAAGCAGAGGAGGCTACCTTTCCCAAAGGCGGCCAAGTATCGCGCGAAGGAAGCTCTCGAGCTAGTTCACGGCGACCTCTGCGGGCCAATCACGCCTGCTACATACGGTGGTCGGCGGTACTTCCTCCTACTCATGGACGATTGCAGTCGCTACATGTGGCTGCAACTCCTGACGAGCAAGGACGAAGCGGCAGTGGCGACCAAGAAGTTCAAGACGCGCGCGGAAGCCGAGAGCGGCAAGAAGCTCCATGTACTGAGGACTGATCGGGGTGGCGAATTCACTTCGGTGGAGTTTGCTACGTACTGCGCGGATCAAGGTGTGGGGCAACATCACACCGCGCCGTACTCGCCACAACAGAATGGCGTGGTGGAGCGACGGAACCAGACAGTGGTCGGCATGGCCCGATCCATGATGAAGGCCAAAGGGATGCCGGCAAAGTTCTGGGGAGAGGCGGTGACCACGACGGTGTTCATCCTCAACCGCGCTCCAACCAAAGCCCTAACGGGCAAGACGCCGTTCGAAGCTTGGTATGGGAGCAAGCCGAACGTGTCATGCCTCCGGACATTCGGTTGCATCGGCCACGTCAGGAAGACGAAGCCAAACCTCACCAAGCTGGAGGACAGGAGCACACCCATGGTGTTCCTGGGCTACGCGGAGGGTACCAAGGCGTACCGGCTCTATGACCCACGCGGAGACAAGGTGACTGTCTCGCGCGACGTTGTGTTCAACGAGGATGCAGCTTGGGACTGACACAGTCCGAGCACGGGGGAAGCGGGAGGCTTCACCAACACCTTCGTCGTCGAGCACTTGGTCATCCACGACGATGGAGACGCTGCGGAATAGGTGTCACGCACTCCGGGAGGAGCGCCGAGCACTCCGGCGGTAGAGTCGAGCACTTCTGGGGCAGTGCCGAGCACTTCAGGAGGGATGCCGAGCACTCCGGGAAGAGTGTCAAGCACTTCTAGAGGGATGCCGAGCACGCCAGGAGTGGAGCCAGGAGGTTCTGCAGTGGTGGCGACCACTTCAAGACGGGTGCCGAGCACTCCCGTGGCGGAGCCAAGACGTCTTACTGTGGTTCCGACCACTCCAAGACTGAGGCTGGGCACTCCTACAGTGTGGCCGAACACTGCAGGAGTTATGACGAGCAGTCCAGAAGCAGTGCCGAGCACTTCAGGTGCTATGCAGGGCACTCCGGCGGAAGAAGGAACTCCATCACCCCCGATCAAGTTCACCTCACCTCTAAGTGACATCACTGAGTTCGTGGACGCCTACCACGAAGGTGAGGAGTTGAGGTTCCATGATCCGGGCGACACATCATCGACCTGCACAGTCCCTCGTGTCTCGACGGGTAGGCTGCTCAATGACGCAGAGCTGCTACTCGTCAGTGCAGAGGAACCACCCATGTTCGCGCTAGCCGAGCGCGATGGAAACTGGCGACGGGTAATGCTGGAGGAGATGAAGGCGATCGAGGAAAACGAGACTTGGCAGCTCGTCGATCCACTCCTAGGATGCCGTCCAATCAGCCTAAAGTGGGCATACAAAGTCAAAAGGAACAAGCTCGGCGCCATTGTCAAGTACAAGGCGCGCCTCGTCGCCCGAGGCTTTGTCCAGCGCGAGGGCATCGATTTCGAGGAGGTCTTTGCACCGAGAGCGCTCACGAGTCGGTCCGTTTGCTACTTGCTTTGGCGGCAACAAAGGACCTGGCGCGTCCATCACTTGGACGTTAAATCGGCCTTCCTCAACGGGCGAAATGGCGAAACGGTCTTCGTCGGGCAACCTCCGTGGTTATTTGTCAAGGGAGAGGAGCACAGGGTGCTCGATCGCAAGAAAGCGCTCACGGGGTGAGGCAAGCCCCTCGAGCATGGAACGCCAAGCTTGACACCACGCTGGGCGAGCTTGGGTTTCAGAGGTGCACAACCGAGCACGCGCTCTACACGCGACGACGGGGGAAGGAAGAACTCGTGGTCGGCGTGTATGTGGATGACTTAATCATGACCGGCGCGCGCACGGAGGATATCAACAGCTTCAAGCGAGAGATGGCAGCTCGTTTTCGAATGAGCGATCTCGGCGCTCTCTCCTACTACCTCGGCATCGAGGTGAGATAGGAGAAGGAGGAACTCACGCTCGGGTAAAGCGCGTATGCCTCCAAGCTATTGGAGAGGAGCGGCATGGTGGAGTGCAAGCCATGCGTGACTCCGATGGAAGAGCGGCTGAAGCTGACGAAGGACAGCACCGTGGCGAAAGTAGATGCAACACTCTACCGGAGCATCGTCGGCGGTCTGCGCTACCTAGTCCACACAAGGCCGGACATTGCGTTCGCCGTGGGCTACGTCAGTCGCTTCATGGAGGATCCCAGAGAGGATCACTGGGCTGCGGTGAAGCGGCTACTACGCTACGTCAAGGGGACGGTGAATCATGGAATCATCTTCCCAAAGACCGGGGAAGTAGGCTGCGCTCACGGTGTTCAGCCGATGCGCACATGGCGGGGACATCGACGGACGACGGAGCACCTCTGGCGCATTTCGTCTTTCTCGGGTCAGCCCTAATTTCATGGTGTCATTTGAAATGGAAGGTGGTGGCGCTATCTACATGCATGCGAGGCGAGTACGTGGCGGCCACAAAGAAGCGTGCCAAGTTGTGTGGCTCTGTTGGTCTGCTGGGTGAGCTAACCGGCGTGGAAGCTCACCCACCAAAGACCGATGGTGGACAACCAGCCCGTCATCGCCTCTCGCGAAGAATCCGGTTCTGCACGACCGGAGTAAACACATCGACGTGAAGTTCCACTTCCTCAGGGACTGTGTTGATGGAGGGCAGATCGTCATCGAGTTTGTCAAAACTGGTCGACAACTCGTGGACGTCCTCACCAAGCCGCTCGGACGACTTCGACTTACGGAGCTGAAGGAGATGATCGTCATGGAGGGGGTGCAAGGGTTAGCAGTAAGATTAGGGGAAGATTGTTAGCTAATCTCATCGCCACCTTGTGTGAAACACAGAGAGGAAAGCGGCGCCGACTTTGCCCCCCGCTGTAATACAAGAGCCGCTGTAGGTGCAAAGCGCCGCATGGCTCACCCGCAAAGATCAGAGGCACATGCAAAGGGTGGCATGTATAAAGTCAGCCCCTCATATAGTTATCTAATTATTGTTCAGCAAGCATGTGGCTGTACTTTAGTTAGATAGATAGAGTTGTATAAATAGGGCACCAAGGCAACTCAGTAAAGAGAGCTCAGATTTGCCATCACACAGACAGGGCCTCGGCCAACGTTGTTGTCTTGTATTGTGCGTGCTTGCTCTGTTCTCCCTTCTTCTTCTAGCTCGATCCATAGTGTGTGGGTACAGACACAACCGGTATAGTGGTCTGGGAGACTAGTGGTCTGGTCTGGAAGACTAGTGGTCTGGGAGACTAGTGGTCTGGTCTGAAAAACTAGAGGTCTAGGAGACTAGTGGTCTGAGACTAGTGGTCTGGAGACTAATTCACTATCGTCAGACAGTGATCCCGTGGGCCAACAAGTGCTACCTGTGGTCTTATACAGCATACTTTGAGAAAGAACACACAAGGGCAAGGATGCTCCTTGCCAAGATAATCGCACTAATAATCCTGACAGACGACACTTACGATGTTCGTGCTACTTTGGAGGAGTGTCGAAAATTCAATGAAGCTATACAAAGGTTGGAGTGCCCCAATTTAATCTTACTAATTTGATCTAGGAAATCTTTAGTTCGTATAGTATTTGCACTCAAAGCTGTAACCAGATAACTTTCCTACAGATGGGAAGAGAGTGCCATTTCTCTTCTACCAGATTATCTGAAGAAGTTCTACCTCAAGCTGATGAACATCTTTAAGGAGTTTGAGGACGAGTTGGAACCACATGAGAAGTACAGAGTCTCTTTTAGCAGAAAAGCGGTACAAGCACAACCCCCCTTTTTTTGGAAAATCTTATTTTCCTCATAACATGAGTGAGCTTGGTCTTTGAAGTTTTGGTGATAAATCTTGTCTGAATTATTTGAAGTTTTTGCAAATGGTTATATCTGAGCCAAGAGAATTATATACTAGATATGTATGATGTATGAATCCTCCTATGTTTAATTATAGAACTATATATTTCAAGATGAGGTGCTGATTAGGATAAGAAACTCACTACCGATATTTATGTGCTACCAGTTAATTATTTCTGTTATGCATATATATGAAATCCACTCTTATATAGGCAATATTGTAATGGTACACCTATCATATATATATATATCTGCATTCATACAGTGACCTCATATGTTAATTATCAAGCTGATGACCTTATACTTTTATATTTTTCATCTCCAGTTTCAAATATTATCAAGTAATTATCTCCAAGAAGCGGAATGGTTTCATGGTGGTTACAAGCCAACATTTAAAGATCAAGTGAAGATATCTACTGTGTGCTCAGGTGCTCCATTTGCATCTGTTGGGTTACTAGTTGGCATGGGAGACGATGTAGCAACCAAGGAGGCACTTGAGTGGGCAATCAGTTGCACAGATGCTGTCAAGGCTTTCGCAGAGGTGACACGCTTCATGAATGACCTTGCTTCGTTTAAGGTAAGATTAATTATAGTACATGTATATTCCCAATCAAGGTTAAAGATCATAAGTGTTACCTAGTAATGGATGTGTTTTCCACAGCGTGGAAAGAACAAAAATGACGTGGACAGCTCGGTCGAATGCTACGTCAGTGAGCATGGTGTTACAACTGAGGTTGCCTTTGCAAAGATAAATTCCCTGATTGAAGATGCATGGAAGACTATAAACAGAGCACGCTTTGAGAACAATGAGCTACTTCCAGCAGTGCAACGAGTTGCCAACATAACTGCCAGCATGCCGTTAATGTACGGTGATAACAAGGACGCATTCACATTCAGCGACGGTCTCAAGGGGATTATCAAGCGCCTGTTTCTCAAGCCTATCCTGCTCTAGACAATATAGCCTACTGCCTATGTTATGAATGTACTAGTAAGCACCAGAATAAGCAGTTTACGTTATGAATGTCACACTAAAATTATTACTATTAGCAGGTTCGAGTCATTTCAATCTTGTTCTAAGTTTTTGGGGCTCTCTGAAAGGAAAAGGCATGTGTAAACGTTTTTATTTTAATAAAAAGTTTCTTTTGGTATCCTTGTCCAGTTATATGGTGCCAATTTTTTTATACCGGGGACCCTATAGAAAAACCCTCTTTGATGGTTCTTGTTTATTTCTCTGCATCCATCTAGAGAGCATCTTCAACGGTTTTTCGTAAGCCCACACTCTAAATTCTCAGTTTGAGAGCCATTTTAATAGAAGTAGCACTTTATATCTCTTCACCGCCCTACTTCTCTATATCTTATTCGACACTTTGAAAAGTTAGCCCTGTTCTCTATATTTGGCGAGCAAGAAACTAGAAATAAATTATGACAATATTTAAAGATCTAACTGAACGATGTCGGAGAAGATTTTCTTTTTACCAAAATCTCTGTTCTTATCAATGATGAAAGATATAAAGAAACTCTTAAAGTTGCTCTACTATACCTGAGTTATACATGAAGGCGCCGTATAGCCGGGATAGCGCATATCTCGAGTTGTAGTTGTAATCTAGAATAAGTCGCAACAACAACCTCCTAGGATTTCTCAACCTTGTAAAGCCATAGTGGATTGCTATTGTTACCTATATCCTCTGATTTCTCACAAAACTAGGGAGACAATAAACACTTTCCCATTAGATCGCGACTTGAGGTAGCCAGAGATGGCTTATCTTTTTTAAATAGATTGACAGGTATAGTGAATACCAAATAGTAAAACAAAGTGGATTGTTCGGAGTAGTAAAACACACCTTTTATTTTTCTAATTCCATAGTCCTCCAGCACCTTCTCACTACAACAAAAAATTCTATTCGTGTCCGAGAACGACATCCTGAACAAGCCATTCTCAACTTCTAATTTGTGTCAATTTTGGTTGTCAACATAAAGCATTTTGCTTAACAAGCCATAAAACGAGTTTCATCTCTAGTCTGAATATCACGAGGTGTGCTGAAAGAGTAGTTCCCTAATAATCAGAGTCTAGTCATCGTTAGTCTGAATATCATGTGATCTCAGATGCTTATACTTCTGATCTGCATTTGACAATCTTGCCGCCTCTGTCAAACCCCTGGTGGCCACCATCTTCAGAATATCGACACCCTCTCTTATGGCTGAATCAATCTAGGTTGTAGCAAAACATGCAATCATGATAAGCTTTGGTTGTTGGTACATCAAATAAAGATAATATAACTTGTCCCAGTATGGGACTTAAATGGTGGTCCATCAATATTGTTGCGATACAATGATAATAAATTCTGATCTCATGTTTGTGACAATTGCATTAGTAGAATGAGTCCATGATCATCACTTGTAAAAGCTCAGCAGTATGACTGAGGCTTTTTTTTATTATTATTTCCCAACCTTCCATGCTTGGCAAGCTGCGTCCATCTTCAACTAAATCTTTCCATGACATGGTAGCATTAACTTGGACAGAAAGGAAACTCAAGGCCCACAGTTTTCAAGAGGTTGGCTCAGATTTAGCTCAAGCCCAACTCTCTAAATGCCAATCTCAACCTTTGATTTTAACTTTGACACCAAATTCAACCTGACTACAAGGCTAAATCGATCTTCTCAACACAAAATCAAACAAGCATCACCATATTCCATATACTGTGGTTGCTTCCTTTGAAACTATTCAGGAATGTGCAACCAGACTGCTGGTAAGAAACAGCACCCACCAAATTAAAAAGTTTTCCAGTATCAATCCTCCTATCGCAGAAAGCATTGTGAAAGTTACCCAAGGTTTTGGTGAAGTTTATACCAAAACTAAAGCTTGCAGCATGCTTACATATACATACAAGTTTGCTGGAATAGTGGAATCAATATTGTATGGTCATATCTGTCAGAGAAATTTCGAAATTTTCTATTACTGGGTCCAGATAAAAGATTAACAATACAACTAATGTGGTAATGTGAATCTTACCTAGCTCATTAATAGCTACAGCAGAGTTCAGATAATATTAAAACAAATACCATAACATGAAACAATAACAACAGAAGCACAAATTACTAGTGAGATGTTTACCCGTTCACGACCAGTCCTATTGAACTTCTGAAGAACAAAGGCTTTAGGATCCATCTGGCCAGGTGGCCGTCCAATTCCTAAATAAGTCAAGATGAATTCTTGTCCAGCAAAATTAAACAAATTCTAAATGGCGAGTGTAGAAAGTACCAATCCTTAATCGGCAAAATTCTCGATTCTTACGAAAGTGGTATATTACACTCTTCAACCTGGTAAACTAAAAGGGTAAATGTTTATTGTCAAGATCAGATAAATCTTTTATCTGTCAACATCCAATAGATATCATATAGCTAATGGTTTATTTTCATACCAACCAAAGAAAATTTGACACAAGGTAATGTGCTGTTACACAGATTAAGAGTGTTATAAAGTAATGGATAGCCTTTTCAGATAACTAATTAGATGCCCCCCAAGTTATGCAAAATGGAAAGTGCAAGCAAGAAAAACAAACTAAAAGAAACATAAAAAAATGAAAGGAAAAAGGAGAGCAAGACAGATGTGTGAACACCACACTGATAGAAAAAAAAAAGGGAAATAGCTACAGAACTTCAAAAAGATTCTTTTAGTGTCTCCTAAAGGCATGCCAACAACCCAGATTAGGGGACTAAGACAATGGCCAAGTTTGTGATGATAAAGTGATTACCATTGCTGGTATATGCATTTAAACATAGAGATAGATGTTTTTCCTTTCGAAATATAAACTTCTTTTGTTAGGTGGAAGATGATCCCACAAAACAAACAAAAATAAAGCCTACATACCCATTATGCCGTCCAAAACCTCCTTTTGGCTGTAAACGGAGAACTCCACATGGCAAGTCCATATCATCAAACGCTGAAACTCACATACCAGAGAAGTCATATTGCCTTGTAACATGGCTCTAGCAAAGTTTAGAAACAAACACCTACCACTAGGACACGATTAAGTGGCAGTTTATAATAGGCAGCAAGTGGACCAACCTGCAAGTGAAAACAGAGACTGGTCACTAGTAGTCATCAAACAAGAATTGTGTAAACAATTTTGTATGTCCAGTTAAAGACAGTAAGACATACATAATAAAAAACCCATAATGCATCAAGATTACTATCATTAAATGTAATTAGCATGGTTAAGTTTACATGTTGTGCAATGGTACCTCAAATTCAAGAGGTAGCAGGTGAAACATCTGTTAGTATTTAGTTGCATCAACCAAATTAAAGCCCATATCACAGAAAATCAGTGAAAGAAACAAAGTATGCAAGAATAGAACAGTATTAGGCGGGAGAAGTAGGAAACACGCCTGAAGTGTAAACTTATGATTCTCCTTGAGATTCATATAAGTCTGGGCTTGGCAAGAAGAACAGGGACTCCATCAACCATCCTCGAATCAATGGTGAGGACAACACATTAATTTAACCCTTTGTGCTAAGAAACAAAAACATGCATCACAAAATATGAGGAGTGATATTCTTTCTCGTGGTGCGTAAATGGCGCCAAACCTTCACCAAAGAGTGCTTTGAAGTAATGTGTAGTCAGGGGTATACCACAGGATTGCATAAATGCATCTATCATATCAAAACCCACCTGTGAGCAAACAAATTGCAAGAAAAATACAAGAATAAATACCAAGACATTGAGAAATTTTGAAATACAAGATGAGATGTGCAACTTACGTTATGCCGGTGGATTGATACTTCTCACCGGGGGTTGCCAAGACCGACAAATAACTGAGGGTTGTATCGGGGACAAGGACGAGGAAAAAGATGAATATGATGAGGATGTCCGAGCGGTAGAAGTACAACATTTTGAAAGGAAGGGCATG